CCCCCCCCCCCCCGAGTTGCTTTGTTATAGTGTTTCATTATAGCAATAGTTAACTCGAACTAAACAACAACATATCAGAAGAAAATCTACTCTCACAGATTTATTAGAAAAGGAGAAACATAGGCTGGGCCTTTAATCCCCCCACTTGGAAGGCAGAGGCAGTCGGATCTCTAGGAAGCCAGCCTGGTCTACAAAACAAGTTCCAGGACAGCCGGGGCTGTTACACAGAGAAACCCTGTCTCAAAGAAGAAACATAATTTTAAGAAGAATCACTTACCTCTGCTATAGAGTGGACTGCTGCTCAGCGGGGGTGGAACTGTGGTGTTGGGTTTCTGGGCCTTTGGCTGTACTATGATCTGGTAGCCCTGCATGAGACGCTGGCAAATGAACTCCTCAAAAACTTGCTGGGCTGTCATTTGAACCCCCTCCTCATCCCTCCTGGAAGAAAAATGACTGAGTATGTGGATATGCTTGACCTTGGGCAGTGACACTTAACAGTCATTGTGTCTCTTCTCCTTTGGTTCATCCCAGATTATCATTCTACAGCAGCTCATAAAATCCATAATCTGTACGCCAGCTTTAGAAGAAATCAGTTTAACAAGGCAGAAAAAAAAATAATAACCTTAGGAAATACTTGCATTAGCAAATATGTTATCAATGGAGACGAACGTTAATGTCAACAAAACTTGAAAGTAACATTTCTTTTAAAAAAAAAAGATTTATTTATTTATTATGTATAAAGTGTTCTGACTGCATGTGTCCCTGCAGGACAGAAGAGGGCACCAGATCTCATTATAGGTGGTTGTGAGCCACCATGTGGTTGCTGGGAATTGAACTCAGGATCTCTAGAAGAGCAGTCAGTGCTCTTAACTGCTGAGCTATCTCTCTAACACAAGTAACAGTTCTTGGGTCATCAAATTTCCCAAATACTTAAGGAGGACATGAAAGGTTTAAAAAGTTCAATGTTCTTCTACACATGTGTTCCAATATACCCATAACCCTCACAAACAAAACTGACTGCTTTTCTCTCAGGCACTGACCTGTCCATGTCTGCTTCTGGGAGGAGATCATAGCAGCCCTCTGTGTAGTCATTCTGCAGGCCCTGACGGTCCGGGAAGTAGTCAGTGGTGAGAGGAAGGCATGCAGGAGTAGTAAGAGACTTCCAGTCCACTCCAACTGTGCAACAGAAGCCTGGCACTACAGGGGGAGCAGACAGTGTCAGAACTGCCTCGCATAACGGGGAAAAGGTATATGTGGTCACCATGGCGGGTTTGGGATATGGAGTGGGGAGGAGTTCATGGTAAAAGGTGATAGAAATTGCCAGGATAGAGGAGCAGAGGGAAGGGGGTGGGGGAGGGAGAAAGAGAGAGAAACAGAGTTTGTTAGATAATGCAACACATGCTTATCCAATCCCATCATGCAAATGGGATTCACAGCTGCTATTTTTCATTTTCTGCTGATCATGAGCTACAGCTGAAATGCCAGTGAGGTTACTGCAGGGCAGGCAGGGTTACATATCAAAGCAAATTAATATTCTGAGGGCAAAAGAGAGGCTCAGGCCAGAGCTTCTCCTTTCAAGTGCTCTTTCCTACGCAGAGTGTCTGGGTAGGAAAGGAAGAAAGCTCAGCCTAATTGGGAGCAAAATAGCATACAGCGGCAGAAACAGGAACACTTCAGAATCACAAGTAATAGATTCAAAAGCATAGGAGGAAAAACCAAAGGAGGATGTCTGGGACAGTTACAAGGCTGGGAGTTTGGAGACATGAGTTTGACGTCTGCTCCTTGGGTAAAGCAGACTTTCAATACTGGTCACTAACTCCTGACATTTTGGATTAGGCAAGACATTATAGAGGGCTGTGCTGGGCACAGCGAGATGCTGAGGAGCAACACTGGACTCTACTCACAAGATGCCAATGGTGCACTCTTCTGTGAAAACAGACACTGCAGTGTCCACTGGGGTGCGTGTCCCTTCCCACTAACCTAAAAGTGCTAAGGCAGCACTATGGTCTGTCTGGATGCTGTTTGTTTCACTAGACTCATTCCCCAGTGTGCAAATATGAGAAATATGGAGCCTAGAGGGAGGTCCCTGGAGGTGTGTCCTCAGGAAGGTCAGGGTTGTTCTGGAACTCGAGGCAGTTCTTGGTAGTTCTTCCCCAGCCTGCGCCCTAGCTTCCATTTTTCTGCATGTGATCTCTCTGATTGACTCTAATCACGATGCCACTCACCACCATGTGGTGCAGTTGGTGAGCTCTTGGCAAAGCCAGCGCCACAATAATGTTTCTCTGTGTCTCTGTCTCTGTCTCTCTCTGTGTCTCTCTCCTCTTCTCCCTCCTTCTCCTTCTCCCTCCTCTTCTCTCTTAGTCTTGCTATGAATCCCAGGTTAGCCTTGAGTTTGTACCCCTTCTCCCTTAGCTTCCAGAAGGCTAGGATTACAATGTGCACCATACACTGAGCTTTAAACTAATTTTCTTTATAACCTACCCCCTCAGGTATTCCATGTAAACAGATAGCTAGCTCTCTTAGTAAAACTTACTCTAATCTATAAGATCTTTGAAGTGAAGACTATCTTTTTTAAATCTCTGTAAGAGAAAACACAACAAAAACCACTCCATACCTTGGCCTTTGAGTACTGAGTGGGATACTTACACACTATATATTGTAAATGCATGTGTGTAAGCAGTAACAAGGTTACAACCCAATGTATCCCCTGTGGCTTTGTCAGCCTTACATCACCCTCACGTGGGTGAAAAAGTCTTATGTGCTAAATACGGGGACAGAGTACTTCCCGCAGCACCACTGACTTGGAGAAAACCGTAACTGGACAGAGGCCTAACGCCATCTCTATGCAGGTCTTACACAGTTATCAATACCTCAGGAATTCAAAATATATCCCCAAACAGCTGAAGTTGCACCCCAACTTCCCATATGGGAGATAAGAAGCTGTGCTTGCCCCTACTTCCTGGATAAAACCAGAAGTAGAAGAGACTTCATCAAAGCCACTATGAGGAAGTCAGAAATGGAAGCCAGCCACCTCTTTATATTGTCTTAGATCATGCCAGACCTCACTACCTTTCTGACTCTTACATCAGTGATTTCTGCTGCACATAATAGCATATGTCTGTAGTCCCAACACTGGGAAAGCAGAGACAGGAGGATTGCTACAAGTTCACAACTAGCCGGGCTACATAGAAAAACCCTGTCTTAAAAACAAACAAACAAACAAAAAAACAAAAAAACCCTCTTCCCCCCCACCCTCCACCCCGAAAAATCTGGAAACTATCCAAATGGTCACTTGTAAAAATGATTACTAAAACCCCAGATAAAGTCATATGTTTGATGATATGATTAAAAATAACTTCAGACATTTTCTATTTTGTTTGTTTGTTTGTTTTGAGACAGTGTCTCACTATGTAGCTCTGGCTGGCCTGTAACTTCTACTTATACCAGGCTTCCCAAGTGTTGGGATTAAAGCTGTGTGCTACCATACTCAGCTTAATAAAACTTAAAAAAAGAGAGAAAAGAAAAGAAAAACAAACTTTTTGGGCTGGCATGGTGGCTCAACAGGAAAAGGCACTTGCCACCAAGCCTGATAACTTGCATTTAAGTCCCGGATCCACCCAGTAGGAGGACAGAGTCAGCCCCTACGGGTTGTCCTTTGGCATCCACGCACATGTGCTACGGCATATGTGTGCCACCACACAAACACGCCTTTTTTTTTTTTTTTTTTAACTTTTAATAATAGAGGGCCTGGCGAGATGGCTCAGCAGTTAAGAGCACTGGCTGCTCTTCCAGAGGACCAGGGTTCAATTCCCGGTACCCACACAACAGCTCACAACTGTAACTCCAGTTCCAGGGGATCTGATATGCTCACACCAATGCACATAAAATTAAAATAAATTATTTAAAAAAAAACTCAAAAAAAAAAAAAAGAGTAACAGGGACATGAAAAACAGTAAGGGGATTAAGTTACTCCAGCATTGCACATCCAGAGCCACACAAAGTGTGCAGTGACAGGATTGTCCCCGCTACTGTGCTGATACAGGTGCTCTTCCACTGTTCAGCTATTTAAACAGACAAAGGTGATGAAAGCAAACCTTAACTAGCAAATATTTTCACTATGGCTTCTAGTAACAGCCCGTTATTTCTTTCTGCTTTTTTTCCAGAGCCAGTATGAGGCCTAAGAGCTAAGACTGGCCTCTGCCTGGCACAAGGGTTTTTGGGAGAAGTCTACCCTTTCCCATATGTCCTGAACCACACATTACGGAGCAGGTCATCCAACCATACTTGTCTCAACTGGCATCAGACAGACTCAAGAGTCCCTCACATCACCTTTCTGCACCAGAACGCACGTGGATGTCTGGACTATTCTCTTCTAACAGGGCTTCCTCGTGCTCCCTCTATGCCATAATCCCTATAGCCTGCTTCCTGCTATTCAACTGTGCCCTCTTACTTGGGTCTGGAGAGGTAGAAACACCATCCTCTGGAGAATCCTTATTCTGGGTCCTAGGATTCATACCTAGAGAAAGAAAAAGCAGATTGTCTGAATCAAAAGTTACGCTACAAAAATGTTTTGACAGTTATGGTTGAAAAAGCTCAAAAATAAAGCTAAAAAGAAAACACACACACACACACACACACACACACACACACACACACACACACACACACCCCAAGGGCCAATTCTGAACTGGGTATTTCAAACAGCACAAAAGAAAAAAAAACCAAAGAAAAATATGAACAACCTAAAATTTGGGAAAGAACCAGAACGTTAATGTTATCAATATCATCCTTTTTGTCTGCTGGTTTTTTTTTCAAACAAAACTGCTACTTATTTTAAGAAAACTGACACATTTTAAAATCATTTCAACTAATTAATTTTTAGCAAACATAAAATAACCTAATTACATTTTGTACAGTTCTTGTTTAACCTTACCTTGTAGAATTCTTTGCCAAATCATAGTTTTTAGGAATTTAACATAAAGGGCTGGAGAGATGGCTCAGTGGCTAAGAGTACCCAGGTTCAATTCCCAGCACCTACATGGCAGCTCACAACTGCCTGGAATTCCATGATCTGACACCCTCACACAGACATACATACAGGCAAAACAACAATGCACATAAACTTTGTTAAAAATTAAAAAAAAAAAAGAAAAAAACAAGAATATAAAGTCGGGGTGGTGAGGGTGGGGGTGCACGCCTTTGATCTCACACTTGGGAGGGAGGCAGCAGCCAGCTTGGTCTACAAAGTGAGTTCCCAGACAGCCAGAGCTGTTACACAGAGGAAACCTGTCTTGGGTTAAAAAAAAAAAAAAGGAATATAACATAAAACATCAAAATTTCCTATGTTTAACAGAATAACAAAGAATCTACTTTAGATATAATCAGTCTGAAAAAGATTTAAAATGAAACTTTAATATGAAATGACAGAGCTAACTGAAAAACACACATAACTAATTAAACATCACTTAGAAAACATACCTATTTATTAGAAAATCATATTATAAAAAAGGATTGAAAAGAGTCTCAAAACCAACCAACATTAACTCTCTTTAAAGCTAAGGGAGGAGATAGGTGAAGAACAGAATTCTGTTGTCTTTTTGTTTTGTTTTGTTTTTTGAGACGGTTTTTATGTGTAGCTTTGTGCCTTTCCTGGAACTCACTCTGTAGTCCAGGCTGGCCTTGAGCTCACAGAGATCCGCCTGGCTCTGCCTCCTGAGTGCTGGGATTAAAGGTGTGCGCCACCACCGCCAGGCCGGCGTTGTCTTTTTTAAAGCTTTCTTTATTTTATGTGTATGAGTGCCTACTCATACATATGTGTATCTTGGTTGTGCCTGCCGCACATGGAGGACAGAAGAGGACATTAGATCCTCACAGACATCTGTGAGCTGCCATGTGGATCCAGGGAATGGAACCCAGGTCCTCCGCAAGAGTAGCACACGCTCCTAACTGCTGAGGTATCTCTCTAGCCCCAGAAATTGTACCTTTTATTCCACATATATTCCGTGTCACTTGAATCTCTTTTAAGGATAACAAATATTTATAAATTCCTTGTGAAATCTTTGAGAAAAAAAAGCAATGACCGACTAAACACTTGAAAATCAGATACTCTGGAATATGGAGAGTTCTCTCAAAAATCAAGAGGAAGAAAATTAACAACCCAATAAATAAGTGAACAAAATTATGTGAATGGACACTTTAAACAGCATATACAGAAGGCAAGTGAGGACATAAAAATAGATTCCACACCAGTTCTCATTCAGGAAACAGTGAATTAAAGAGTGAAATGCCTCTCCACTGGTTTTTGTTTGTTTACTATTTCAAGACACGGTCTCTCGGATCCCATGCTGGTCTCAGACTTGCTCTCCAGGGGAGGATGATCTTGGACTTCTGTTCCTCCTCCTTCTACCCCAGTGCCGAAATTAAAGGCCTGTACCACCAAAGCCAACTTGTTTGTTTGCTTGTTTACTTACTCAATTTTATAAATGTTTTGCCTGGTGCCCACAGAAGTCAGAAGAAGGCATAAGATCCCCTGCAACTTGAGTTACAGATGGTCACGAGCCACCATGTGAGTGCCCCAGTCCTCCAGAAAAGCAACAAGTGCTCCTAACTGCTAAGCCAAGTCTAGTCACCAAGCCCAGGTTTTCTTCTTTTTTTCCTCCTGTTTGGATTTTTTTTTTCCTTTTATTGAAAATAAAAGCCAGGCATGGTGGTACATGTTTTCAATCTTAACACTTGGGTAACAGAGGCAGGTGGATCTCTAAGTTCAAGGCTAACCTGGTCTACAAAGACAAAAAGAGAAACTCTTTCCCCCCCACCCCAAGGGGGAAAAAAAACAGATTTTTTTTTTTCCTCCCTCACATACTATACCTTGATTATGGTTTCCCCTCCCTCTAGTCCTCCCAGTTCCTTCCCACCTCCCTACCATCTGGATCCATCCCTTTTTGTCTCTCATTAGAAAGCAAACATGCTTCTAAGGAATAATATTAAAATATAATATAATAAGATAAAATAAAAACTAACACATCAGAACAGGATAAAACAAACAGAAAAAAAGAGCCCAAGAAAAGGCATAGAAAACAGATATAGATGCAGAGACCCATTCATTCACCATCAGGAATCTCAATGAAAACACTAAACTGGAAGTAACAATATATATTAAAAGGACCTATGGGATAAAAAGAGGGATATACATACATACATATATATATATATTTATATAGGATTATTCATGTAGAAATAAATATATATTTATTATATATAATAAAATAATATAAAAATATATTATATAATACAATAATATAAAAATAAGATAATTTTTTTAAAAAGCCCTGACATGACATTTTAGGATACAGAGCCTCCCAAGACGCCACTGAGCTAGTTTTCTATCTGACTGTTGGCTATCTACTGTGGTGGTATTGTGTTCCCCAAAATATTGTGTACTCTAATAAATTTATCTGGGGCCAGAGAACAGACAGCCACTAGATACAAAGGCTAGAAAATGGTGGCACTCACACCTTTAATCCTAGCATTCCAGAGATAGAAATCCCTCTGGATCTCTGTGAGTTCAAGGCCACATTAGAAATAGCCAAGCATGGTGACACACACCTTTAATCCCAGAAAGCCAGCCTTTAATCCCAGGGAGTGGTGGTAGAAAGCAGAAAGATATATAAGGCGGGAGGACCAGAAACTAGAGGCATTTGGCTGGTTAAGATTTTGGCTGGTTAAGCATTCAGGCTTTTGAGCAATAATTCAGCTGAGACCCATTCCAAATGAGGACTCAGAGGCTTCCAGTCTGAGGAGATAAGACCAGCTGAGGATCCGGCGAGGTGAGATAGCTGTGGCTTGTTCTGTCTCTCTGACCTTCCAGTACTCACCCCAATAAACGGCCTCGGGTTTGATTAATCAATAAGTACTTTTAAGATTCCTGCTACAATCTACTACTGCTAAGCCCCGTTTTTCAAGCAGTGCTAGGGATGGGACCCAGGACCCAGCACTCGTACCAACTGAGCTACATTGCAATCCCATTTGCTGTTTAAATAGGTTATCGATACATAATTCAGGTAGATATGTGCTTAGCAGACACAAAGTTCTAGCTTCAGTCTCCAGTACAAAAAGTAAAAAGGCAGAAGGATGAAAAGGTGATCTGTCAAGATTCCCTAACTGCCGTGACACTGCTAGACAGCACAGAGAAGTGATTGATACAGCGACAAGGTCTCACAACTGTGCTTAAAACAAAATCCTGCAGAGCCAGAGGAAAGCCCACAGAGACATTATTCCTGAGAAGCATGACTCATGTGTGAATCAGGCCCAATCACAGGAAGTCTGAGTCACACTTGAGTACCTGCAGACGGCAGAAACTCCAAGCCAAAGGAGGTAGAGGAAGGGCCACAGACGTGGTTTTCTTGCATTTTCTGTTGTTTTTTAGTAAGTGAAATGTTTCTTAGCTATGTATTTCAACTCTATCTTGTACCAAAACAAAGACAATTTTTGGGTTTTTGTTTTGTTTTGTTTTGTTTTGTTTTTTTTTTTTTGAGACAGGGCTTCTCTGTGTAACACTCTTGGCTGTCCTAGAACTTGATTTGTAGACCAGGCTGGCCTCAAACTCAGAGATCTGCCTGCCTCTGCCTGATTGCTGGGACTAAAGGTGTGCAAAATGATGCCTAGCTCCAAAACAAGGATTCTAAGTTTTATTCTTAACAAGCCTAAGCTACTGTTGACCCTGATGCTGTGGGGACACTAAGCCAGGTTGGTAGGTTTTGTTTTGTTTCATGTCATATTTTAACAGGAAATAAAATGTCACATTACATCAAATTGATGAAGTGCCTGTGATCATATAATTTCTTTAGAAGCTCCATATATTCTTGCTGTTTCCAAAAGTCTATTTTAATTTAGCCTGTTAGTAGAACCTAAGGCAGAAGTTCTGCAAAACTCAGATACAAACTCTGATGCAGCATCTCCTAGTTTTCTGGTAATACTTGGCAACTCCTGAGGTATGACTATCTTGCTAGATTTCTGCCAGGCAGGAAGAAATGTTATGAAATGTTCAATGATTATGGCAATGCAGAGAGAGAGCTGTGGCACATGGCACTGGCTAAGGCATCTTCTTTCTCCCTATGCTAATGGTGTTCTTGACTGGCATGATCTTTGACAACCACTGCAGTAGTGGTGGCTGTGGGCGCCCCCAGGAGGTAAGGAACTGCAGGAGGTAGAGAGCCACACCTGGCCTTAGCTGGTGGTACATCTTCATGTCATGGCCCACATCTGATACTCTTCTCCTTTATATTCTCCTTGGCATCTGCTGACTCAGATGTGCCTTCCCCAGGCCTGGTTTGCTTTCTTAATTCATGAAGCTGTTATCCCTTTCACAAGTGTTCACTGAACTATGCAACCACAGACCCAGGTTGCTTTATTTTTAAGGGTTGTTTGTTCTTGTTTTTGTCTATTTTAAGGTTTTGGGTTGTTTTTTATTTTGTTTTGTTTTTGCACTATTAGGGATCAACACCGAGACTTTGTGCA